AGAGGAATTATATCTGAGAAAAGTTTGAAGAGAGCGTTTTTCTAGTCTAAACTAAACAATGATTTCTGGGGATGAGGAAAAGGGGTCAGGAGAACTTTGGATTGCACAAGGAGACCCAGGTACGAGCCCAGCGCCACCCTGTGGCAGCTTCTGGGAAGGTGGCTGGACCTCAGATAGGGTGGCTCCATTGAGTATTCCAAGCACTAGACACCCAAACTCACTAGACTGTCTAGGAACCCAAACATCACAGAGAAGCGGCTGTCAACGGCTGGGCCAAGGAAAGCATGAGTTATTTTGCTTATTTTTAGACTTTGAAGATTGGTGAATTGAGGGTATACTTCAGTGCCCTTGTGTACTTTTGAAGTAGAGACTAAAGAACATAGAGTTGCATTTGTTTTTATCTCGTTGAATTTTCCACAGGGTAAGGATAAAAGGTTAAGGGAGAAAAGTTCCTTTTTCTAACATATCTAATAAAAAAAATATGGTTTTTTTGGAGGAAAAAGGACCAAATGTAACACCTATGCTTTGATGAAGTATAAATAAATTTTAAAATATGTGATGAATGTGGCAAGCAAAAAGAACATGGCCAAAAGAACATATATTATTATAGAGGGGCCAGGAACAATGAACCAGCTTTATCTTCAAGAGTGCTAGCTTAGGAATGGATTGAGACTGTTAATATACAAATAAGTTAATAGGGTAATCCTACTAAAGAACAGTAGGATTCGGTAGCTCCAAGGCATCTTTGGTGTGGAACATCTGACTGAGCCTAACATAGGGAGAGAGGAGGCCAGTGATCAGATCGTTGAGAGAAATCAGGGAGAATGGCAGAGAGAAAATGTAGACTATAGTAAAATGGGAATATAAAATTTAACAATGCCAACTGGGTTCATTGCTATTTTACAGAAAAACATAAAAAACTGTAATTAACAATTAAGCAGTGGGCTCTCTCACTTTTGTTGTTGTTGCTATTGCTGTTAATCTTCACCCGAGGATATTTTTCCATTGATATTTAGGGAGAGTGGAAGAGAGAGGGAAAGACAGAGAGAAACATCGATGTGAAAGAAATACATCCATTGGTTGCCTCCTGCACTCGCCCTGACCAGGGCCCAGGCCCGGGCCAGGGAGGAACATGCAATCAATGTCTCTCTCACTTTTGTTGTTGTTGCTATTGTTGTTAATCTTCACCCGAGGATATTTTTCCATTGATATTTAGGGAGAGTGGAAGAGAGAGGGAAAGACAGAAAGAAACATCAATGTGAAAGAAATACCTCCATTGGTTGCCTCCTGCACTCGCCCTGACCAGGGCCCAGGCCCGGGCCAGGGAGGAACATGCAATCAATGTACATGCCCTTGACTGAATTGAACCTGGGACCCTTTGGTCTGCAGGCAAACACTTTATCCACTGAGCCAAATTGCTAGCACTCTCTCACTTTTTTTCAAATCAAAGCCTTAGATGAATGATAGTGAACTTTCATCATTCTATTATGGTTATTTGACAAAACATTATTCCCACCCTTGCAAAATTAGTTTTCCCTTGGCCCTTTCATAATGATGTAGTGGCAAGACAGAGCAGCTGTGTATAGAGTGTATGTAATGCTGACTACTGTATTAAAAAAATAGAGGTTATATATTTGCCTTTTGTCTCCAAAAGTATGTCTATCGCAATAGCACGCACAAATTTATTTTGGAATCCTAGAAAATTCTCAGCACCAAGAGTCTGACTAGGAAATCTGTGAGTGTATTATTTACAGAACATGTAGAGAATCATGCATTATACATCTTATTCTCTGAAAAGATATAGTCAAAGTTTCCGTGGCCAGACATGAATACAGTAGGGAATGGTGTTGACTGTGGTGAAATGACATTCATGTGCCCTGCCCTATTTATCTTTGGTCAATCAGTTCTATCTGACAGAAAGGCACAAAGTTCCCTGCAATTGTTTAAGACTGGATGAATATTTGTAGGAAACATCCTCATTTTTGAAAGACCAGCTAAGCAAAACAAAACACTACAGCAATAGGTTTTAAATGGTAAATGCAAGTTTAGGAAGTTTAGGAAGAGATTACCTGCTCTGTGGAGAACACTAAGAAGGGAGTATGGGATTGGATTTTCTCTCAGTGAAGATCTGTTTTTCTTTAAAAAAATTAAATTGAAGAATGAGATCCAATATTAATAGTGTAACCCTAGCCGGTTTGGCTCAGTGGATAGACCGTTGGCTTGTTGATTGAAAGGTCCTGGGTTTAATTCTGGTCAAGGGCACTTACCTTGGTTGCAGGGTCCTCCCCGGGCCAGGCCCTGGTCAGGGCGCATGCAGGAGGCAACCAATTGATGTGTATCTCTCATATCGAAGTTTCTCTCTGTCTTTCCCTCTCTCTTCCACTCTCTCTAAAAGATCAATAGAAAAATATCCTCAGGTGAGGATTAAAAAAAACAAAACAAAAATAGTGTTGAAAAATACTGCTATATTGTGGAAAGGAAGCATTTTGTCCCAAACAAGATCTAATTGTCTTGTCTAACCTACCTCTCTTGACTCCTTGAGAGATTCTCCAGGATGCTACCCAGTTTTCTTCCACATTTAACTTAATAGACCGTACTGTGGTACTATTGGTCTATTCTTAGCCAATTTTTCATCTAACATTCAAGTCAAGAATAAAGACAGAGATATTAGTGGGAAGATACTTATTAAGTTGTAAATGTGAATAAATAAATAAATAACAAAAAATATATGTCATATTTGAGATTATATGGTTAAAATCAATTTAATTGGAATGTCATTCTAAAGCTGATAATTAAAGAAAAGCATTCACTTTGATAAATATTTGAGTCAAAATAGGATATTTTCCTTCAATTGTTGCATGAGTACTTTCAAGATGGACCAAGAAAAGAATGGAATGCATTTCTTTTAGTAAATTAACTTCCAATAGGAAAGATAAAACCAATTCCCTCAATCAGTCATCAAAGAGGCTACATTAGTGCAGTTGCCTATGGAGTCGGATGCTGGGATCATATTCTAAGAAAAGGAAGCTAAGTGATTAAAGAATATTAATTTTATATTAACTTGAAAGGCCATGCTACATTCATGCCATTTAGTCAAATATAATTTTAAACAAAGTTTTAGATGCAAATATATTATAATTTCAGGATTTTTCAAGATATGGTTATAATAAAACTTCAATGTCTTTTATGTGTTAAACAGTTTTCAACACATTTTTGCAATTATAATGCATTTTAGTGCTAAGGTGTATCTCAAATGAGTTTTTATATATTTTGTGTCTACACAAGGATAAACAAATATTCTATTACTCAATCAAATAGTAACAATTTATAATATAAAAATAAGCAAATACAGGAATTTTATTTTGTAATTTCAAATTTTAAATAATTTTAGATACTAATGAGACATTTTTATATCTGATAAATTTTTTTGAAAAAATTATAAATAGTATTCCTTTCACAAAAGAAGTAACATAACAGATACTATAATTGTATGCATTGACAAAGGCCAATATTATATATTATAAGCACTTGGCATTTTTAATTGTTGATACAATCCCTTACACACATTAACACAGGAATAATATTTATCTCCTAGAACCAATCAGAAACACTAACTAAAATGTTTATATTTATATTAGATGTATATCATTTGATTTTAGACTATATTTCACCTTTTATTTACCTCTTAAAAAATACATTAATTTTTAAGGAAGGTAGGCATTAGCAATATATTAAAAAGAGAAAATGGCTTCTGATAATGCTTTGAAAATCCAATGAAAACCTTGTTAAATATGTTTCTTCTTTAAATTTTGTCCCATACATCATAAGATGAAAATATCAAGTAACACTAAGCTTTGAAATATTGTATTATTTTCTTTTTTTGTTGTACAATAATAAAGAAATATTTCTCAATAAATAACATAATCAGAATACTATTCAGTATTTCACAATTTTCTGATATAAATGGATTTTTGACAATTATTATTGTCTATCATTAAGCAAGAAAGCATGCATAATTAGAAAACTATGATACACAATGGAATTCATAGCCTTCTATTATTTTAAGTTAAACAATACAGTAAATATTCACGATATGTAAATCCATGCTAGTCACTACACTAGGTGTAAGCCGTATGAAGTTGAATAAGTCTTTATATGAAAAAGAAAAACTCCCAAAACAATAATTTTATGATAAATACAAAAATTATGAAAGTTATAATGAACCCCAAAATGTACATTTCCCTGTCTTTAAATCAAACAACACTGAACTATTGCACGTAAGTATATTACCCCAACTCTCCAAGTTTTTCTTTTTATCTCCTGCTCTTAAGGAGTGCCTTTATTTATAATAATCCTAACGAAATCCAAATATCCCTGGCATAAATATAAAGTAGCTGAGCCACAAGCTTTGGCCTAAAGGAAAAATCTAATCTTAAATATAAAAACAAAAAGATGACTTCATATTTTTAATGTATAAAGCCTCCCAAACTGAAGAATTCTACTAATCATAATACTTAAATATTTATTTGCATAGTTACTTAATTTTTTTTAAATTATAATGTGGAGGAATGGTTCCATATTTCAATTCTTGAATTTGACTATTATTTTGTAAAGATTAGATAATTAATTATGACCTACAGCCATCAATGAAAATGTAAACACTTGATGAGGGCTGACCACTCATTCTAAATTTATTGCTTAAATTAAAAAGGTTTGGAACCTCAATTCATGTAACATCAAACCATTACAATGAAAACACTGTCTATCACATGCCAAGCAAATAACATGTTCCAGAAAGTATTAATTTATATCCCAAACCTTTACTTTTACTTAGCAATTAGAATGACAACAAAATAAAACAAAAAAAGATTTTAACATTTCATATAAGATTATTACAGATTAAAGCAGTTCATTTTGCCACTTAAGAATTAAATTTCTATTTTACTATATTTATGAACTATTTTTAAAAAATCATGTTTGTTTGTTGGTTTGTTTGTTACCTTGAAAGGCAATGGCTCTTCAGTAAGAGGACTAACTGGAAGTGAAGTGGTGCTACTTGCTGGGCTCATATCCGCACTCTGCAGGAAAAACAAAGTGAATTGAAAAGACACTTTTTGTAGCCATTTTTATTATTCCTAACTTAGAATATAATCCTTGTTATTAAAATTAAAAAATAAAGTAAATATGGGTGTAGGAAAATAAAAAGTATCTATATATATAAAAGCCTAAGTGACCGAATGACTGAACGACCGTTCGACCAGTCGCTATGACGCTCAATGCAGGAGCTGCCCCTGGTGGTCAGTACGCTCCCACAGCGTGAGTGCCGCTAGCTGACCTACCTGTCCCAGTGGCCCACTAGTCCTGCGGTAGCCACTCACTCCATCAGTAGTCCTGCAGGTCCAATCTCCAAAGAACAGGCCTGGCACTGATGAACCAGTGCTGCCAGCACGATCCTGACAGTGCTGATGGCCTCCTGGAAGTCGGCCTCGGGCACTGCAGTCACTTCCCCTCCCTAGACTTTCCACAAGGAAGTAATTATATAAAAGTGGCTGCCAGGTGGCTCCCAACAACTGGCATGAATGTCAGTGGGAGGGATCCAGATCCTGATTTGGCAAAGGTGTCCTACCACCCACCCAGGGGCTGAACGCATCCAGGTCTCCCCAGAGGCCCCTCGGGACAGGCGCCAGATGCAGGGCTTATGGCTGGCAAGTGCTGTGGCTCGAGCCTCTCCCGATCAGGACTGACTGGGCATGAGTGCCAGGGGGCCAGGATAAGCGGGAGCAGAAGGCAGGAGCTGCAGGTGGCATTGGACTGGCAGCTTCGGCCCAATCCCCACAGGCCACTCCAAGGGACCCTGGGCCTCTAGTTGTTATATAATGAACTAGAGGCCCAGTGCACAAAATTTGTGCACGGGGTGGGGGTGGCCTTCAGCCCAGCCTGCACCCTCTCCAATCTGGGACCCCTTTGGGTATGTCTGACTGCCGATTTAGGCCCAATTCCACAGGGATCAGGCCTAAACCAGCAGTTCGACATCCCTCTCGCAACCCAGGACCGCTTGCTCCTAACCGCTTGCCTGACTGCCTGCCTGCCTGATCACCCCCTAACCACCTCTGCCTACCTTAACCTCCTCTACCTGTCTGCCTGATTGCCCCTAACTGCCCTCTGCCGGCCATCTTGTGGCAGTCATCTTGTGATGACATCATGTGACACCACCTAGGCTTTTATTACATAGGATTATTTCTTATTTAGAAATAGTTATCTGAGATATCAGTGAAATTATAACAATGCACATTACAAGTACATTTTATTAAATATAATAATCATTTTTTGTGTTAGAGTAGTATTTAGTATTACATTTTCTTACTTTATTTTTTTACCTTTTCTTTGAAGATAATATGTATCTGTGATAATTCATCATGTTGCTATTTCTATGTCTTTCAAACTGATTATCATAGATTATTAATTTTTTTTTTTTTATGGAGAATAATATAATTGTATCTAGTTTTTATAAAAAGCATGTCTGCCATTACTACATTATTGCAAAATGAAGAAATATTATATTTTTAAGATCCCCACATTCATAGACCTTGCCATTTTACAACCTTTCTTATTATATTCTGCTAATCAAAACTTTTAAGGACAAAAGACACAGTATAAGAGCATTATTAGAAATTTGCTAATGCTGTTATTTCAGTACTAAAAATTTAATCAATTAAAACTTCTTACATAAGAGATTAACCTAAAAAATGAGTTAGAAACTTATCATTATTTTTTCTAAAACCAAGAAAAGGATATTGACAATAGGTAGCAACATAATTTATTTTACTATATTCTTAGCTTATTCTCTCAGAGGAATTTTCCATTTAAGTAGTCAAGCAAATAAAATACTGAAAGTAAGTCACACCTCCATTTTTCAGCTCGTTTTCCAAATATACGTGCACACAAATACAATAAATTTTGCAGTGAAGATTATAGCAAAACAAGGAATTAGCCATGATTGAGATAAGGGAACAAGTAGACAAGTTTGGCTGACTTAAGTTCCAATAAAAGAAGAAATTCAAAGAACAGATACTGCAACTGCTACAAATTCTTAAACTTTCTTTTAATTGAAAGATTATTTTTGCCCTGGCCGGGTTGCTCAGTTGGCTGGAGCATCATCCTGTGCAGCAAAAGTCTGCGGTTCCATTCCCAGTCAGGGTACATACCTAGGTTGTAGATTCAATCCCTAGCCAGGGCACATACAGGAGGCAGCTGATTGATGTTTCTCTCTCTCTCTCTCTCTTTCTCTCTCTCTCAAAATCAAAAAGACATATCCTTGAGTGGGAATTAAAAATTATTATTTTAAATCATTTTTATTTATGTGTACAATAAACTGGACACATAGTAAGTGATAGAACACAGTTCATATATATTTGAATTATATGATATCCTGAAGTAATGATATTCTGCAGAGCACATTAAAGTATTTGCCCTTAAAAATCATATATTCAGGTGACAGAGATGACATTCAGTTGTGAAAATATAAAATCCTGGATCATATTCTTACAGATGAAGGCTTTCCAACTTCCATAAGTAGAGCAGCTCAAAATCAAGTTTCATGGTTAACTTCTCTTAGGGCTGAGGTCTCCCTACAACATTCCAGAAATAAATGTGCCATCCTAAGACTGTAAAAAGCAGACTCTAAAATTTGCATCATGTAACCTTGATTCTTGAATGTCATTCTTAGAGAAAACTTTGTTCTAGCTTTCAGTTTAAATCCATCTTATAGTGTGACACTTTAATTCCATTGCTCATGAGAAATCATGAGAAAAATCTTTAAAAAAACAAATCAGTCTTATATGACAACATCTTATGAACTGCACTTAATTACTAAGTTGAGAATATATATATATATATATACTGTATATATATATATATACAGTATATATATATATATAATTTAAAATCTTCCTTTTAGCTTATTGCTTTTTCTATTTGCATTTCAGTGATCTGTAATTTAGCTGCCATTCCAATTTGTTTTTTCTTTGAGTTAAAATACTATAGTAAACTCTTCAGATATGTCTTACCCACACATTTTACTATACTTAAATTCATTTACCCTTTCATTCAATGATAGCAATACCAATGCAACTGTATGTTTAAATAAAATTAACAAAGTACTTCATAGATGTACTTTGCATGGATATAAGTTGCATAGATGATTTTAAAAGCTAGCAGAGTATGTTCTTCTATAATATCTTCGTAAAATATTTTGTTAGCATTACGGCCTTATCTGCTTATGATATATTTCAGAGGTTGTGGAAATGGCTGGTTTATGATCATGTGAAAGTCAATCCCATGGGAATATAGAATACTTATTCTTTAAAGGAAGCAAATCATGCCAAAATAAGGAATGTCCTTAATTCTCCTGTAATACCCTTGGGTTTTTTACTCATTTGGAGACTGCAATAGACATTCTTGTTATAAGAAGCCTATTCTAATTCTAACACATGTCCTAAAACTTAGTTTTCTGCTTCGAAGTCCAACAAACATCTCCTTTTCAACACTAGGTTTATAAGTAATATAAACCTAACATTTTCCCCCACACTTAAAATGTTATTTCAGCCAAATTGCTAGATTCTCCCCTTTCCATTTCTGTATCTATAAATTATTTGGGGTCCAGCTTCTTTCACTCAGCAAAATTATTTTGAAATCCACCATATCCTGAAGCATTTTGTTGTGACAGAAAGTAAGGACATGCTCAAAAATAAAAAGATGGGGCATGCCAAAGAGACAGAGGAGCAAACTTGAAAGAGCTCCCAATTGCCAAAGATGAAACACTTTGAGCAACAAAATAAATAACATAGCATTAGAGTACAACTCAAAGTATAAGACAAAAAATGAATTCATACATAAATAAATAAGTGACCAAATAAATAAATAATTGGGAGATGAGACAATCTCTCCTGCAGAAGAATTCCAAAAAATTTTAGGTAGCTGCTCCCCCTCTTCAAGAAGTGGGACTTAATAGTCCACCCCCACCCCTAGGTTGTGTTTAGTGACTTATTTCTTTTGGAGAGTAATGGATGAAAAGGGAGAGAGGTAACTTTTCAGTGGGAAACCTGGCAAACACTACCTTAACCAAGTGATTATGAAGGTTGCATGATATAATGTTATGAGAGGGATAATTCACTTCTGTGGTCTTCTTACCAAAAACCCACAATTTCAGTCTAGTTATGGGAAAAATATTGGACAAACCCAAATTGAGGACCTTTTTAGAAAAATTCTGACCAAAGTCAAGTTCATCAACAACATCAAAAGTCTGAGAACTATTACAGATTATGATTCTAAGGACAACATGATGACTAAACATAATGTGTCATTTTGGATAAAATCCTGGAATAGCAAAAAGGACACTAGGGGAAACTGGTGATATCAAAATGAATTGCTGAGTTTAGTTAATAAGAATGTACCAATATCGGTTCTTAGTTGTGACAAACGTTCTCTGTTAAGGTAAGAGGATCACAATAGGGGAAACTGGATGAGGGTTACTCAGGAGTTCTCTGCAACTTTTCTATAAATCCGAAACTGTTTTAAAATAAAACGCTTATTTTAAAATATTCTTTATTAGCAACATAACTAGGCTTTTCAGTATTATAATGCATGACTGTCATTTTACTGATTGCTTCTAAGTTTGCATCAGACCTTTTATAACCATCACAAAAATAAATTTTGACGGACCATTTTATTGGAATGCATAATATCTCTACCAAAGAATCTTTAATCGTCTATAAAGATCTCACTGAAAAGAAGATGTTAATTTTTCCCCCCATGCATTTATGTTCCATATGAGGATGTTGAAGGAAAGCTTCAGCCATATAAAATGATCTATTTGTTTGGGTACTCTTAAGGTGCTTGGAAAAGTGAGTTTGAATTATTAATATTTACTGAGTGCCATAATTCCATAGTATAGACCCATTAATTATACCTCCCCTGAAAGCATAATTAATGGATCTGTCCTATGGGATTAAAGTTTATTATCAGGATTTCTTGAAGTGAGACATGATCAATCGGGCTCAAATCTGTTGAGTACATAAAC